TTTTTAGGGCCTCAGCTAAGGCAACACTTAGATCTTTTTGCAGTATTTCTCTGGTCAAAGGCTCCCCTGCAGGGGTAGGAGGAGGTTGGGCGGGGAAGTAGTGACTGTAATTTAGTTCCGGGGGCAGGTGAATTACCAGCGCTCTTCGAAGCATTAATCTTATGCTCCTTAGAAGCCATTCCACATTTAATCTTCTCCACCCAATTACTAAATCCAGGCAAACCACTTGTCCAGCAATTACTATTTAGTAATAAATCCCTACTGATTTAATGATATTTAAATGTTCTGAGCTCCGTAAAAATCTGTGTCATCAGAGCCTGACTCTTCCTACAAAGCTGTTCGGCGCCATTTTCTGTGTATTTCTAGCAAGTAATTTGTCAGAAGGAATTCTTTAAAAAATGGAGTTAAAGTCTTTATACATACAATTAGAAGTTCTCCAGTATCAGTTCTGCCCGTATTGGAATCGGTAATAAATCAATCCTTGAGCTGAGGGTGGACGGCAGAAGTCCTTGATGCGGAGAATCCACTATGTTACCAGGCGGCTCCGTCTTTCCACCCCCCAGATTTATGTTCTGGGGGGGTTAAATGGAGTGCTGTCCAAACATAGCTTACTCGCCTCCTCCTCCTACGCCCGGAGAAGAGGTAATCAAAGTGTCAAACAGTTGATGGATACTGTTTAGACAGCTTAACGCAGCCAAGGATCCGGAGCTGTTAACAACAACTCCTCTCAGGCCCCCGCCAAAACCGGAAGTCTGACCTGAATCCCTTTTGACAGCTCATCTGTGTTCCTGGAGGAGAGGCCTCCTCCATGCTGCTGGCTATGGGGACAAAGTTTAGCCTTCCGCCCTGGATGCAACATCTCTCTCCTGGTTGAGAAGACTGGTCTTCTTCCCTTCTCAAAGCACTGCCTTTCTGGTTCACGGGGTCAGAAGGGGTCTTGGAGGTCTTCTAGTCCACCCCCCTGCTCAGGCAGGAAGCCGTATAGCCCATAGTACCGTTTCAGACAGACGGCTCTCCAAGGATCTAAAATGGTTCAATCAGGGCAAGTGGGCCTTCCTTTAGGCGTTGCTTTTCAATTTGGGAAGAAAATTTTGGGAGAGCTTTATAGCTCCCGCTGCATTAAGAAAGTTCAAAACATTCTTAAAGATCCCTCTCATCCTGGGCACCTTTTTTTTTTTGAACTATTACCATCTGGCAGCCGGTACAAGGCAACAAAAACAAGGACAAACAGGCTGAAAAACAGCCTCTATCCCAGAGCAGAATTCTACAGTATAGTGCAATATCAGGTTTTCAGTTTCAATTATATAGAACCGTGATGGCGAACCTATGACACAGGCGGCACGCACAGCCATTTGTCAGGGCACACAAGGCTTCGGCCTTCTTCTGAGGCCATTTGTCACCTGAAAAACGTCCCCACGTGTTGTCATATAACTCCTTGTGTAGGTGTGGCGGTCACCCATGGCCCAGTGCATAACAGGGCATGCGCAGCCACGCTGAACCACACAGGAAAATACAAGTCCCAAAAGATAAAACATCCTGATAGTTCATAACATAACATCCTG